CCCCCCTGGGCACCCTGAGCCATCCTTCGGGGCTGCCGTGCAGGATGGGGCCGAGGAACCGGGGGTGCCATCCCACTCCCGCCAGCAGCGCCAGGGCCGGTGTGTTGGCAGACCTGCAGGCAGCTCCCAGCAGGAAGGTTCGGAGGCTGCTGTAACTCAGGGTCAGGCTCCGAAGCCGCCGGCACAGCTCAGAGTGGGGAGACGCATCTAACGCCCAGCCCAAGGCTATCAGCAGATTTATCAATAAAACTGGGGAAAAAAGAGGGGGGCTGGCAGTAGCTTGGGGTGACAAGCGCTGGTGCAGGATGAGCCCGTGGCACCACAGGTGCAGCACGTGGCAGGAGGGATTTGGGCCGTTGGCTGACCTGCCGCCAGCCTACCTGCACTGCAGCGCAGTGAAGCGCAAGTTCATTTATTCAGGGGTGAAGAGCCTGTCCGCTTTGGGCTGAAAACCTGTGTTATGAGAACTGCAGCAAAGGAAAGGATTTTTGAGGAGAAGCAGACGTCAGCTGAAGAGCATCCCCCTGCATGGCTGAAGCATGGCCAGAAACTGCACTCCGCAAAATGAAAATTGGGGAAAAGCCACGGGGAAAGCAACGGGAAGAAGCCTGTAGTGAGTGAGAAGCCCGCAGCAGCGGGCCGGATACATGGCAAGAACAGCCAAGGTTTCCCAGCCCCCCGGGAGAGGGATGGGCCACTCCACCTGGTGCCTTTTGCTTCCTTTTGTAGGGAAGGAGAAAGCATCAGGCCTCCAAAACCAACCCCAGAAAGCCCTCTCTGCTACTGGCCCTATGCTTTGGGGCTGCAGAGGAAGATACCTATTTATCACTCGTTTCTGTGATTCTTCAGAGATCAGTGTGGACCTGCCCTAAACTTCCCTGGAAGCAACGTGGCGAGGAACTTGGGCAGGTGGCACCCGCCGCAGTCATCAGAGGGGGAGCTGGCAGGAAAACCAACATTCACCTTGCCCTGTTTGAGGCTTCTGGAATGGTCGGTTCAGTGTTTTTGTTCCAGCCCTCGGGTAAGTCAAAGGGTGGACAGCTCATGAAAGGCTAACGTCCCGAAGGCAGCATCTCCTGTTAAGAGCTGCCGTGAAGGTGAACTGCCACGGACAAGGCAGGGTAACTACCAGCTACCACCGCCTGGCGTCTCAGCAGTAAAGCACCGGGACACACAGACAGGGTCCTGCCAGACAAAACACCGCAGCCCTGACCCAGGCAACCCACAGTGACAGCTTGTCACCTCCCTGGGGAGCTTAGCGACGGTCGATGGGCGGTTTGGCTCCTTGGTCCGATGCTGGAGGGGCACTGACAAACCCTACGCTCTACTACAGGTTTCCTGAAGCTTTCCTAATTCCCCAGAGCTCGCTGGGTGCATCGCCTTCGCAGGACACAGGAGTCTCCTGCACTGCTGCCCAGCTCTTCTCCTAATCCAAACAATTGAGAAGTCAATTTTTTTATCCTCAATCTGTACAGAAATAAGCCGTCTCTAACACTCGTAGGACTCTGCTGCATTTTAACTGCGCGGCTTTATTGCAGCAACTTCCTCAGTCCCGCTCGCAGGGTGTCAGCAGAGCCGGCTGCACAGCCGGGGACTTACGCCCAAGATCGGTTGCTCAAAGCGCTGCTTCCTGAGAACATTTGCATTGCAGGAGCATCGGGTCTCCCTTTAAAAGCTGTGTTTGCATGTTTTCATTCCCCACGCCGTCGAGATGCAACGTGATTTCCTTAAATACAAGCTGGTGCATTGTTACCATAGCTGCTGCGTAGCAGAGGGTGCGCAATTTCACTACATCCGTCTGCTATTTGCCTGGGAAACATCTCTATTGGCTGATAATTTCAACGAAGAGTACTGGAAAAATATTAAAAATTGACAACTGCAAAGTTACTAGATAAGAATCTTTAAAATTTATTGGACTAATTGTGTTACATTCAATATTTGATGTGTTTCTCCTGGACAAAGAATTGGCATAAATACAAACAAGCCTTTGTGTGCCTTCCCTAAACAAATAAGAGATAAAGTACTAGAGACAAGGGAACATAGTTCACATCTTCATATTTACATTTTGCCTTTACTTTACAACTTAGCGCCAGGAATATTTACAGAAAAATACAATAAGAACAAAAAGATCATGTCTTGGCAACATACAGAATTCATACAAATTGTATATGATTTGAAGCACATGATATCTGGCATTCTCATTTCTAATTGCTCCTGCTAAAATCCACGTGGAAAAGGTCTGTGTTTGCCTTCAAAGACATCACTCAATTATGCAATCATTAAATCACATCAAATTTGTCTGTTAGATTGAAATTTAGTTCTCTCGTCTTTCTGGGCATGCAGAACCTCGCAGGAAAGAAATGCAGTCACCTATGGAGAACCCAGCACGTATAGCCAGCCGAGCAGCGAGGGGCTGCTCTTCCCTATGGCCTCGTGCAGACGTTGCTATCCCACAGAGACACCTTAATCTCCACAGGCACCGTCCTTCCCATCTGCTGTTCGCTGTAAGGTTGTAATGCCTTTTTTAAAAGTACCTTTAAGAAAAAATGCTTTTCTTTAAAAGAGAGTCAGTATTAAGGTACTAAAATCTCTGTAATTTCAACACCGTGTTTAACAAGGTGACAATGGTCCCCCCTCTTTCTGCACCGCTAAAAGGATGCCATCATTTAAAGCAGAATTATGAACCCAAACAGAAAGGTCTTATGAAAAGAGAAAGTCTCAGTTTAGTTATTATGCAACATTTGCAACCCAGCTTTTGCAGCACTATGTTACCTGTGGAGTCGAGACTGACGTCACGCTACGCACAAAGCAAGTGGTCAATACTCGTCACCTCCGATGAACGGGAACACAAACCCAAGCCACGCACGTTGTCAAGTTGAGAACTCAATACAGCAGTTTGTGATGAAAAGAAGTCTGGATTCTTGACCAACATGTTCTTGCAATCACCACTGAAATAAATCTCATTTGCTCTAACCCTTTTGGGGAAAAAAGCTCAAGGCTGTATCCCGGACTAGCTGAAGCCATCGGAGTTTGGCCACTGACTTTGACAGGATAAGGATTTCATTCCCAAATTAGTGTTTTGCATTTATTTATGAAGCCGGAGGCCTCTCCGCGCACAGGGGAAGGAGGGACACTCCTGGCAGACACCTTCCACCGGCACAGGTCTGCCAGGGGCGCTCGCTGCTGCGACCGGCATCCAAACCAAGTGGGATGGCAACACATTTCTGTAATCGCAACATTTTTATACTAAACTGTGACTTTCTTGAAGGTTCACCTTCCCAGATAGCAACACCCAACACTTATGGCCGGGTCATACCACAAGTGTGTGAGGTGTTAACCAGCTGGTTTTACAAATCAAATTAAGCACGTTATACACGGCTACTCCCCCGGCGGTGGGATCAGCAGCAACAATGTGCGCAAAAGTTACCGTCTTTCAAGACTTCTGAGAAGTTGCATTGCTTTCAGGGTTGTTACCGCTCAAGTGGGTGCCATACCCATGTGTTCGATGAACATGGAAATAGACCCAAGACTATTCTTCAGCCAAGCACAGGCCTTTTTAAAAAGTAAATTTTCAGGCAGTCCATTTGGCTATCTTGGGCTTTGCAGAAAACATCCAGGGTTTCCCCAAATGCACACGTCTGTACTGACTGTATCCGAATGCCTGAAAGAAGTATCTTTTGCAGCTCATTACTACATAAACCAATGACTTCGCATACAACACACTTAGCTATGGTATGTGGGTTTTGTTCTTACGTTACTGAAGATGTGCAGACATCTGATTGCTCGGTATGTTTATTTGTTACACATGCACTGGTCATGCCTTTTAAATCAGTGGACTAAAGTGTGTTTGGCCATTAATTAGATCCAATAGGTACATACAAAATGTGGGTAAATTTAGTGTCCGTGCGTTAAATTGATACTGGCAAGAGTTTGGCAGAGGAATGAAGCTGTCCAAGTTTCCTTTCACAGCTTTGCCAATACACCCAAATGCTGCCTTGCAGCTCCTCCTGCCATTTGCAACCTGGGCATCACGCAAGCGTGGGCCAGCCATCATGCTTACTTCTACAGTAGTTCTCTTTATGTGGTTTCATTTTTCCACTTGTGACTCATTTGGATCAAAATCCAGAGCTCCTGAGTTGAGAGGCTAGTGTGCTTGTCCCCTGCAACAAGCATATCACCTAAAACCCCTTTGGTTGACATCCTGGAAGTCCCTTCACGTGTATTTTGACATTAACTCTTTGTGAAAAACCACATGAAAAGACAGGAGCAGGGTATGTCCTTGGCAGGTAAGTTGTAATGAAACAATTAAGACTGTTTCAGGTCAGAACTGCTGCAAAAAGTAACTCTGAAATGCCAAAATTACATGACTGACAGGTATTACTGCAATGCATATTAAAAAGCTAATAAAAACACTTCTGGAATAACATAAGGAGCTCCCCAAATTCCTGCTCGCTCTCAGTCTTACATTACCTGCTTACTGGAAGGGAAAGGACACGTGCTGCTGCCAGTGGTCACAAACCGCACCTACCCGGGAGCGCCAGCGATGATTCATTACTGCAACACAAGTTAAGACTGCGCCGGGAGCCTGACAGCGCTCCCAAGGCTGCCAGCGCCCACTGCAGCTTCTATATTCCCAATACTAAATTTGTAGTTGTAAACATCTTTTCCCAGCACATCCTTCAAGTCCTGAACACGTGAAATCCACAGTCTGACAATGAAAACGTCTGACCTAGGTGAAAGGGAGCCACCACTGCTGAGCATGAGAATGCACAGCAGATTCAAAGCAATTTTAAGTTATAACTCCAAAGGGGCTTTCATGGAATGGCAAGTTAATGGGGAAGAAGAAGAATCCTTGAATTTTCTTTGAGTTGTTTTAGTCTGTTTAACAGGAGCTTCTGAAAAGTGTTGTAGAAGCTGCGAAAACTGCTTATGCTATAAATATCAGGCAGGAGGCAGCCCCAGAATCTCAGATTTCAATCCAATGGAAGGAAAGCAAGTGATGTTTACACTTTTTATGGAAACGGTGAGTAGGTGATACAGACACTTCAAAATAAATTAAGTAGTTGCTTAAAAATTAATTAAAAAACCCCAAGCTACTAAAATTAAATGCGACATTTTGCAACAGACCTGAAAGTCATAACGTTGTTTTTATATAACCAAGAGCTCTTATCCAGTAACAACTTATGTTGGAAAGTCAGGTAATTTCAGGTGTTGTTTGTTGTCAGCATGACAGAAATCTCGTATGCAGATGGACTCACTCCCAGCCACGGAGGGAACTGTAAAATACAGCATCTTGGCTATGAATTTCATGATTCCAAGCAATTTTCCTCCTCTCGGCTTTGGTACACAAATTGGTTGCAAGCAGTGAATGATCTTCTGTTGAGCTCTGAAGGGGGGCTGAAAGTGTCTTTTAAGTTCTTGTAGGGATAGTTAATGCTCTGACACAGACTCTCTCCTCAAAGGAGAGATCTGCTCCCTTCTCCTTTAACACGTGGGTGTAGCAAGATGTCTGAAGGCAGGTTTGTTTGTATTTTGTTTTCCATCCTTATATGCAGAGATGGCTTTGTTTTGATTGTTTTCCTCTCACAGAGTGAGAAACTTACAGTTCCTAATTAGTCTGGAATAGATGACTGGGTGAAGAGGTTATGTTGCTAGCATCCAGGAAAACTGGAATTAAGTAATCTTTTGAGGGTAGGTGAATTAAGTCAATATCCCAACTGCAATGTTTTGGATTCATTTCTCATTCCTCCCACATGGTATCTGCTGACTTGTGCTAGAATATGATTTCCTGAATTCCAGAGGGCTGAGGAAATTTGTTGTTGTTATTTAACTGTTTTCATTACTGTAGCCACCAAGCTCTGATCTAATTGTCCCGGAAGGATAACGACCTAGGGATTGCAGTTCTTGAGCCCAACCTCCTGGAAAAGTGAGGTATAAAATTCTGGCTCCAGCTGCCTGTTCCGGTATTTGTTGACAATGTCTGCTATTTTCTGTTTTCGGCGGACATGTGGGGGGTTGTATGAATCACTTTCCAGCCTCTTTCTCCGACAAATATTTATTACTGTCTGCCTCACTAAAAAACCTGAAAAAGAAACAGCATTTGAATCAAGTTTAAACAAATTCAAGTCTGCACCCCTTTGCTGGCTTTGCAGCTAAAGACTATTTTGGGTTCTGTCCCATCTAGAAACCCAGGGGAGATGCTCAGCACCACCAAGTCAAGAACTTTTCTCAATGAGTAGTTGATAACAGATAACCATGGCCCCCAGGGTAAAATGTAAGGACATTTTACTGTGAAAAATGAGTAAGAAAGGGACTAAGTCAGTGGTACCCTAAACTGGCTGGAAGAGGAGGAGGAAGATTTCTCTGCTTTGCCAGAGCCAAGCAACAGCCCGCAACAACACCCTCGGGGCCAACAGGGGAAAGAATCCAGGGCACCTACTACAAGAATTGCAGTGCTACAGCCCCTGGCCATGCCGCACCAGGACATGCGGAGCTCGGATGGGCCCTGAGGTCGTACCAGGTAATGCCAGGGGAGCCTTCAGGATGAAAAAAGTACCCATCAGTACTTTTTTCTAGTAGGAATTGCAGAGCCTTCCCCTTGGAACAGGGGATGAGGAAAGACTTGATGGGTTGTGGCTGGAAACAGGTTTCTCTTCCCCTTGCTGCTTTGCCACTGTTGTTACCTCTCTGTAACTCATACTGCTGTATACGGCAGGGAGGAGAAGGTTGGGAACCAAAGCAGTAACACTTGGTCAAAGCTGGCAGTGGACTTTATCCTATTTTATTCTGAAGTGAAATTCATATGCCTCTAATGAAGTAAGTGTCCGTTAACCCCTTTGCTGTTTCACAAGC